TTGCTCAGGTCAATGTGACCTCTACTTGCCTGAAATTGTTAAATTATGGTTGATCATTGCTATCCTCATGAGTGATATAAATTCAATCATAACCGAGACCATCTCAAACTCAGAAGTACTATGCAACAAATATTGCATATATAACATAACAACTCGGTAGATATTAAGGCTAATGCACTCTGGATGAATAATCATCCCCAGGTAACTCTACAATTTATCAGTGCGACAGATCTAACATTACCTTTTAAGATTTCCGCCATTAGGAAAGCTCTCATGGAACTAAGGTGGCTAAGGGTACCAGTATCTTAACCATCTAATCTTTGCAAAGATTATGTCATTTGGCATAGGTAAGTCCTTTCTCGGAATGATTTTCCCAAATCATAAGCATTTGTGAAGTATTACACAAAAAATTCAACAGTCAAAATGGATGTTGGAAGGCCAAGTGAAAATCCTTCTCCAGGAAGCTTCATTCAATTAGAGATATCTGCACATGTAATATTCCAATTCATCCATCCTCATAAATTCTAAATTATCACATTGCTGATAACCAATTTCCTGTAGCATAGACTAATATGACCATCATAATCTTATTTAATATTTGTCTGCTCTTAATCTAAGTTGGATGACAATCTCCACATTTATCCTTATTTAGTTCCAAAGCAACTTGCTCTGAAATTATACTCCATATTTCTCAACATTTCAATCCACTGACCAATAGTTGTTATCACCCACATCCTTCTCAGATATCAATTTTGTTAAAGTACATGTGTCCAGTTAAGGCAATTGCTCATTCAATTCATTTATGCCTATTCTCATTTCAGCAGTCCTGAAAATAACATTTAACTCTAATCAGGATCTGACAAACTTTCACCAAAATCGTTGTAACTTGACTTCATTTTTAAGGCTTTTCCAAATATTAGATTTGAAAATGCAAACATAAGTTGAACATCCATGTACAGTTGAAGAAATAAGCATGCAAAATCACGTTTGCTACAGGTAGAGAACAAGTTTACCAATGCAAAACAATTGCAGGATTACATAGATATAAGAAATTTGACCTGCAGAGCACAAGATGAATTCTGGCCAAAGAGCCACTCTCTACCGAGTTCTCTGACTAGAATATTTACCTGAATCTATCTCCTAGAACCTGCAAAAACATCAAGCAAGCCGCAGCAATTCCACCAGGTTGCGTGATGCAAAGGTGTAGCAGGGAGCTCAACCTACATACATTCAAGGCATTCCTGGTTAGAACACTAATTTAGTTAGACGAAAGATGCACCATGAAGGACCAACTATAGCACCTCAGCGGTCGGCAAAGTCTCAGTTTTCCCATCAATACTGAGGGCTTCATGATTCTCCTCACCGAGCTGTTCGAGGGCCTCATCCGAATCACGAAGCGGCACTACTTTCGCCGCGGCTTCGCCCGAAGTCTCCTCAAAACACTTAGCAGCAACCTCATCAATCGGCCCCCGCTCTTCAGTCATAGCAACAATCTTTTCGACGTAAAGAGCCGTCTCCTCGGCAGGTTTCTCATCTTCCTTTTCAGATTCAGCGAATTCTAAAGCCGAATCTTCTGATCCAGCGATGGACTCAGCCGCATTCGTAAAAGCTAAATCATTTCCCGCAACAACAGACCCCTCGTCATCTTCCTCGGCCAAGGTAGCTCCTTTACCGCTCTCCGCATCTTCTGCTCTGCTAACAAACTCAACAGCTTCAGACCCTAACAACGCTTCGGCAGATCGAAAACGGTGGTTCTCCCGACTTAAAGATGAGGAGGAAGATGCGGGGGATCCACCGTCGCTCTCCTTGCTATCCTCAACGGGCACCAGATCATCGTGTTGCTCACTATCTGAAGAAACATCCAGCACAAACGAGTTCAAGTAGGAAAACAGAGAGACGCATACATTTATCTATAAAAGGAGACAGAAAGGCGAAAGAACTACCCTGAGGAGGAGCAGCAGGATTTGCAGGGCGGAGAGCCATCTCCTTCTTGCGCCTGGCCGCCTTCCTCTTCTTCGGACCCGATGGCATAACGATGTAATCGATGAATGTACGGCTAAATTCAACCCGTAGCAGTCAACTTCTTCTTTCCTTGTTGAATTCAAAAAATCCGTCCCTGTACGTAAAGATTTTATCCCAAAAATCAAACTTTTGTCTCGAAACCAGGATTAACATCGAGGAAAAGTGGGTTTATGGAGGATTGAAGGGTTTAAAGGGTGGCCGCGTGGATTGGGATGGGAGAAGATGAAGGGAATGGGAAACTTTGGAGAAGACAGGACGAATTGGAGTCCGGGAGAGCAGATTGAGGCTGGAGAAGGGCCCTACCGAGAGTACTGATGCCGGTGGCGGCGTTTTGTTGTCGGCCTCCTCCTTTTTTTGTCTTACTCTTTTCCTTTCACCTTCCACTGCTGCTACAGATGGGAATCGAAGGAAGCAGAAAGAAATAGAAGGCGGGTTGGGAGGAAGAAGAAGAAGCACTTCTTACTTTCATGTTCGTTTCATCTCCCTGCTGTTTTAGAGAAGTGCAACCGTTTATTCGTTCTTCAATGTATATATTCCTTCTATTTCATTTATGATGAGTACACAGTGATAAAATAAAATAAAATAAAATTACAAAAATGTTGCAAGTTTAATTATAAATCAATTTTTAATTATGAATAATCGAAATATTTCTGTATATATTAATATTAATAATATAAATATATAAAATATCTATTCGTGTCCAAACATAAGTGGTTTCTTACTCACTCCTAATAAATCGTAACGAGGTAAAATATTTTTTTGGGCATGATACGTTCGTACAACATATGATTATCAGATCATCCGATGTACCTTAATCGTGTAAAGTATTTCTTCGTATATGATACTTTTACCTAAGACATGCATTAAAATGCTGGATGTGCTAACATCCTTCATGTGCGATGCATATATCGCATATATCTTGGGCGAAAAAATTCAAAGCACCTTTTGACTACCTTTTATGCATGGAATAGTTGTCAACTTCTTAAGATGGATATTATATTTTAACATACATAATTATTTTTCTTAAAGTATAATAAGGAGATAAATGATATGAATAGTAAGAAACATTCAAGTTAGTAAAATAGTATTTTTTTAATATAAATTTTATTGATGCATAAATATGTTATTATAAATAAATAAGATAATGAGGAATCATCCTTACTTAAGATCATAATGATTGATACAAAACTTTTCCTATAGAATGGATTGAGGTATAAGAAACATCCTATCACATCGGATATGGTTAAAGTAACATCATTAATGGATAAATTATATGCGAATGAAATTAGACATATCATGATGTAAAATCATTATTGACTTAGTATCGTAAGCGTTAACAAAAATATCAAGTTCTTAAGTGAAATACATATAATTTAGGCTCACTTTAATTTATAAAAGTTTAATAGATGTACTAATAATAACTGAGTTTTATTTATTTTAGATGTACTAATAATAATTGAGATCATAAGTAATGTTTGATGATATGTTGGCTTTGTTATTCCAATGGTGGTGTAAAACCCATGATCAGTAGCTTTATAATGTGTTTTTATATGATTAGTATGTATTGTATCTTAACATAAAAGTTCTGCTACTTATTGGGACCAGTTTTATTGTTAATCTTAATTCTCTTTCAGCTCTGACTTGGATTCTTCCATTGGAGGGAGTTCTTTCAAACATCTGTTCTTTATTCTTCTGTAGCCAAAGTCAACTTTTGCTAAAGCAAAAGCAATCAATTCTCTTGTTCTTTGTGTTCTCTGCCCTCACTGACATGGCTAATAAGTTGCCTAACCATGACTTTTGAGCTTGTTTTCATGTTCAATTTTAAATTTTCTTTGTTAGAATTTTAAAATAAAAAAATGTTTATTTAATTTAAATACTTTCATCATGTAATTTTGAGTTTGCTCTTCACATGACTCCACATGTTTTCATGAACTTATGTATATATTCTTTCTCCCATGTAGAAATGGGATATAATTTTAAACTTCATTTTTACCATTCTTTTATATTTTTAACTTATATCTGTTTTATTTTTATTATAGATCATTGTTTCTATTCTTCAAGAGCATATAAGATAATGATTCATGCCTTTGGTTTCTTCAAACCCTTTACTTTATTTTTTCACATATTATTCTTTTATATATCTTAATTAAAACGCGACTTAATTTTTTAATTTGGGGGTGTGTGATCTTTCAACACTAAAAAAAGTTTTCTATCGTAAGAAAATACATATACATGTTTGAATATATCGATCAGTTTAGCAAATAAAGATCATGATCTTTAATAATAAATTCAAGGTTTTGAATAATTTAAGATGTTGACATGAATTGCTTTGATTAGAAGATGAATATTGCATTAAAAAATAATAATTCTAGTAAATAAGAAGTCCACTAAAGTTATAGAGCCTTTCTTTTGGTGCAACCACTTCTTTCCGAACTCAACACTTCCGTTTCCTTTTGGTGCAACGGTTGTGCTCTCACCTAACATCCATACACATCCGGGGTTGACTTTTTGAGGCATCCGAGTGGCCACAAGTCAATTCTAGCTCGAGTGGTATTCCAAGTCAACCATCTCATCAACTCCGAACCTAATCGACAATGCTATCTGACCTCAACACCACTCCGAATTAGCATCCCTGTGCTTGTTTGGACTTGTGCTTGAAAATGCAATGGACATGTCTCGATTAATTACACAATTTTAATTTCATAAAAGTTTGACTCCTTGTTATATTTGCGTTGACTCTTGCTTCCTGTCGAACATCGGTACCAAAGACCAGAAGTCAACCCTCTCTTTCCCCTTCTCCGCCTTCGCATGGCAGTATAAAAGGCTCTGCTCTTTGTTGAGATCCCCAACTCCTCCTTCCGCAGTTCGGTGAAGGTTCAAGGCAATCTTCTTCTTCTCCAGGATAGCTAATGGCCATTAGCCAGTGGTGCCGCGGCAGGACCATCGGCCGCGGCTCCACCGCTACCGTCTTCCTGGCAACCGCCTTCCCCTCTGGCTACCTATTCGCCGTCAAGTCCGCCGACCTCTCCCTCCACGCTTCGCTGCAAAGGGAGCAAGGTATCCTCTCCTCTCTCCACCACCCCAACATCGTGTCCTGCCTCGGCTTCGACGTCACCGCCGAATCCTCGGGCGGCCAGCTCTCCTACAACCTGTTCTTGGAATACGCGCCGCTTGGTTCGCTCTCTGAATGCATAGTGAAGCACGGCGACCGCCTGGAAGAGGGCGTGATCCGGTCTTACACCGGCGACATACTCCGCGGCCTTGCTTACCTCCACGCCAAGTCCATCGCGCATTGCGACGTCAAGAGCAGGAACGTCCTGATATGGCCGGACGGGCGCGCCAAGGTCGCGGACCTCGGGTGTGCACGGCCGACCACTGGGGACGACGGTACGGTGCGGCCTATCGCGGGCACGCCGATGTTCATGGCGCCGGAGGTGGCGCGCGGAGAGGAGCAGGGGGCGCCGGCCGACATATGGGCGCTCGGGTGCACGGTCGTCGAAATGGCCAGCGGGCTGCCTCCCTGGCCCGACGTCGACGTCCCGGCCGCCGCCTTGCACCGCATCGGCTTCACGACGGACGTCCCGAAGTGCCCAGGGTGGTTGTCGGAGGAGGCCAAGGACTTCCTCGACAAGTGTTTGAGGAGGGACGCGAGAGAGCGGTGGACGGCGGATCAGTTACTGCAGCACCCGTTCCTGGCGAAGCGGAGTCCACCGAACCGCTTCACGGAAAGCGATTCGAGTCAGGTAAAGGTCTCTCCGAGGAGCACACTGGAGCAGAGCTTATGGGACTCCGTAGCAGATGAAGAAGAAGAGGTGGAGATGGACCGGCAATTCGACAGCCCAGAGGAGAGGATCCGACAGCTGATCAGCGGCGGCTTTCCGGCGGCCAATTGGACATGCGATGACAACTGGATCACGGTGAGGATGAGTGAGGAGGAACCTCCAGTCGCTACAGCAGATGCTGCCGATGAACCAATCGGTCACAGCAATACTGATTACATCAGTTCAGCAGCAGATCGCTTCTCTGATTCTGTTGGATATGGTGTTCCAGACTGCACTGATGAATTAGATGATGTAGTAATTGTGAATCAAATGACTGGGGAGAGACAGATCTGTACACCTGCTGTTGATGTCGATAATAATATTTGTTTTTCTGCTAATTTGGTGCATCGATTGGTCTTTTAGCTTTTCCTTTAGAAAGGTGACCTGTTTGACTCAGCTCAAGGTCAATAGAGATATGCAGTGAGATATGTCAGTAACATGGTTGAAGGTACATGATGATGGAGCAGCACACGCAAATGGAGTTGCAATGGTAATTGGTGATCCAAGCCTTGAGCTCCAAGGTGGTACAGGCAGCTGATCCAATTTGTTAGGCAATTCAGATTCGACTGTGGAGGAGACAGGCAGAGGTCCTACAGAGTTGCTGTTGCTACAGCAACGAAGTACCAGAGGCAAGGTATTAGCAGAGCACAAGCTGTATAAGACTATTAACTCTGTACCCTCCATGCTGAGTATGACTGTGTCTTCCACTGCTGCCATGCCATCCTTTAGTAGACAAAGCAGCAGGGGCAGAGCGCTCAGTGTCCAACCCCTAGCTAGCTAGGGCATGCATGGTCACTGCTGCTACTCCATCCATGTCTCCTAACCTTTCCTTCTCTGAAGCTTTTCCCTCTCTAGCCCCCGTCCAGAGTCACCTTCCCATCCATGTCTCTTGACCTTTCTTTCTCTTAGCAAGTGTTCGCCAACGCCAAACGCACAAAAGATGCTGATTGCGTGGTTCGACTGAGTCACCCGATGAAAGTTTACGGGCGACGTGATTTGAGGGGACAATCTTCGGGTCCCGCCATGTCAGCCGAGAAGAGGATCCGGGTGATGCTTTGGATGACACGCGAGCGCCAGCGCATCAGCCCGGTGCACGCGTCACGCGCGTCGTTCTCCCTGTTCGAAAATCCTCTTCCCCCCCCCCCGCCCGTCCCCTCTCTTTTCCTCTCTCTATCTCTCTCCCCTCTTCCTCACGCACGCACAGTCGTCTCTCTCCGCCTCGTTGGCATTCCCGTCTCTCTCGCTCTCTCTCTTCTCCCGTCTGCATTCGCCTTTCTTGAGAACATAAAAGAAAAAGCGAGCAGAGAGAGAGGGAGAGAGAGAGAGAGAGAAAGACAAAGGCGGAGAAAAGAACAAGAAAAAGGAATAGAGGAGACAGGCTCGAAAGCAGCAGTAACAGCTGACACTCTTTCTTTGCCCCCTCCTCTCTCTGTGTATTTATTTTGCTCATCCTCCCTAACGCCCTCTCCATCTCTCTCTCTGTGTCACGCATCAGAGTTGCGAGCCCAAGGCGGAGTCAGAAGCCTAAGAAAGAGGAGGGACGGGCTTACCAGGGTTTCTTCCTGCTCTCTCCGCCTCCTTCCGGAATGCGGCCTCTGATGCCAGCCATCGGGATCTTTCCTTCCCCTACGAGAAGGAGACGTGCGAGGAGAAAAAGGTCCGTGCACTGATGCTTATCATTTCTCTTCGTATTCTCCTTCTTCTTCTTCTTCGCCTTTGTCTCTTTTCAAGATTCTTGGTGTTAGGGTTCTTGATCTTGTCATGTTGTTTTGCTAAGGGTGGGTAAGCAAAGAACAAGGAGAGAGAGAGAGAGAGAGAGAGGTGCCCTCCTTTTCATCTTTCCTTTGCTTTTGGTGGTATTTTCCTTCCTGTGGCATAATACTTGGTCTGGGTGATTGATTCCGGCGAGGGGTAAGGACTTGTGGGAAAGAGAGAATGAACTGTTGGTGGACATGAAAACCAGATATCGTAGTGCTGGAACTATTCATGGAAGCCCACTTGCTTCTTGGTTGGAAGAGACTGGTGACTACTACCCTGACAGAGGTGACTATGTAGCACGCAGACGTAGAGGAGGAAGAACATGATTACAGCTGCCCTACCTTCTAACTTGCTGATCCGAAAAAAAGTTATGCTTTTCTTCCTATCCAAGTTGACAAATGTGTTGGCTGGCAAATGTTACTTTTCAATATTGTAGTATTATTTCGGTTGAATATTGCATCAATGCACATATTGTCTTTGCGTCCTATTTGGAGGTCCTCATATCTTGTGGCCATTGGTATAGGTTCGTTCACTGGAACAGAATAATGATGCGAAGTTCAAACATATACCCGAATTTGCAGTTCAAGATTGGTATTTCCGTCCATGTTTTGTTAGCTGGAGTGAGGTTATTTTTGATATGAGCCAATAAAATCTAGCCAATATGTTGGGAAAGATACTGGGCGAGGTCAGTGTGAACTGTAACCTGTTCTAGGTAGTAGGTTCAATCTGAAGTGTGATGTTAGAGACTTTGAGTGTGACATAAAAAAAATTATAATGCTTACAACTTTAGATCATTTCAATGTACTTATGGTTACAATGACTTACGTTGAGCGTTCAGAAGAAAAGCAAAGTGTGGAAAGTACTTTGACTTTTTTCTAAGTCCTCCTTTTTTCATATGTTTGGTAAAGATTCTTTTGGATGGAAATCATGCCATCGTATTAGCTCTTGGGAAGTCCTAAGGTCACTAGAGAGAATTATTCTCCAATGGACAGATTAATTGATATAGAAGAACCTTGCTAATGAAAAAGCACGAGGAATCACAGAGTCTGGATATGAAAGAAAGTTAGGAACAAAGACCACTTGGTCATATACCAAACTCTTCTTCATTTTTAAGTCGTAAGATGGTTGCATGTCAAATTTGTTTGGAACAATCCTACTTCAACAACCATAATAATCATTTGCATTTGGATATTTGCCGATGATAACTTTATGTATTTTAGTGATGTCCCCAAATTGTGAAAGTTTTGTTGATTGTCAAGTTTTTTAATAAAAAATAATTGTTTTGATAGTAGTAATAATATAGAATCATACAGTATAGATTTTAATTAAGAATATTTGTATTCTGTATTCATGATCATAATTGTTAATCCTTGTTCAATAAAAAATGCTGTTTCAAGTTTACCAGAAATACACATTTCAATATAGGCATGCGACTTTTCATATCATATCTGTGCAGCCATTGACATAAAGGATTGGATGACTACAATTTGCAAGGGAAGTCTTCCTAAAGAATACTTTTCCCTAAAAATTTCTTTATTTGTGTTTTTGAGTATTGTCTTACTGGGTTGCTCTTTCTCAATCCGTTTGGATCCTTCGAAGCATATGAAGGTATTGCACTATTTGTTGGTTGTTGTATGTCCAAGGGTATAGTTTTTCTGTAGGAAACCTAAACTCAAAATGTTCAAGGTGGTGCCCCACTTGAGAGCATCAGGATATATCCCTAGAAAATGCAATAATCAGATTCCATTTTTTGTTTATCCTGGTATGAGAGATTCATGGCATATTGCTACAAAATTGCAAGGATCTGATTCCACATGTTATGACTGCTTTGAGAATCATAAAATTTCTAAAGACATCAGGTATCATGAACGTTATGAAACAATTTGCATAATATTAGAAAATAATTAGTCGTAGTGTAGTTTGAAAGACTATCAAGTCATGGGTTGACGTTGGTCAGGTTCATGGTCGGCTTCACAATTTGTTAAATGTGCACACAATTAGCAAAATCTTTGTTAATAATTTTATATATCCTTTTAGCTAATTGGAGGGATGATGTTGGCAAGGTAATTTGACCATATAAAAGAGGGTTCACATTGTTGGAAATGGTATCTGATGACATTTAATGGTGGTTAAAAGGGTTCATGCATGGTTGCTTGTTCAACAAATTGGTTGCCATGAGCAATTTATTTAGGGTCTGCCAAGAGCAATTTGTTTGTTCGACAAATCAAATTGGTTGCTAAGAGCCTTTTTTTTTTTGTTTCCTCCAAATGATTGGAAATCCATCAAAATTAGAAGAAATCAATTAAAATCCACTTAGCTTGCTAATGACTTGTTGAACCATCAAAATTGACTTCAGACTAGGATTGGTTGACCCCATGAACCATGATGACATTGAAAATAAAAGAATGCTTGAATCATCCATTATTCGATATGTAGTTGTCCTTGTCGCTTGTTAGGAATCACATTCGTGGAATTTTTGTAATGTGCTCACTTATGGTTGGTGAGATTACCAACTCAAGCAATGAGATCCAAGTGAAGAATGCCAAAGACTTAGATGAAAAACTACCATCTAATTTATCTTCTGCCATCCTTATTCATCCACTCTTTATGTGGGGTTTCGACAACCATATATAGTATGAAAGAGGCATTGAAGATAAAGGAAAACAATAAAACATGGCTTGCCATATAAGCAAAAGAGATTCTCCAACCTTATAACTATGTTGTACTTTGGTTGAACCTCTAAAGAGAAAGTGTCATGCACCTATATGAAAATAAATGAATTTCAAATGCAAGAAACTACAAGAAATCATTGGAATTGGTTGACATTTCTTAACATACTACTAGGAAAAATGGGCAAGAATAACTTCTCTTTTTATTGTTTCTTTTATATCTTACGTACTATTATGAACTTAATTGGAATCATCTAAGTCGTGAGGCACCCTTGCATTATTCGTTTGCAAAAGGTCAACCTAATTGCAATCTCGCTCAGGTCTTGAAGGACCTGTAAAAGAATAAATTGATTAGTTCAAAAAACGAGGGACAAACAAGTCTCGTCGTCTCACAAAGAGGGCAACGTAATAAGCAATTCAACAAATACTTGGTGTATAAGAGAGAAAAGAGAGGAAGGAGAAAATAAGGACTTTAGAAGGTAAACGAATAGTTGCAAGTCTACAAATGATTGCTCATTAGGTGTTGGGCGTGTTTGCAAGTCCCTGTAGGCTTTACGTGTGAAATTGTGAATCCAATCAATGCCCAACACTATCTCAAACCCCCATCCAACCCTGTGCTACTCGGGTGGTTCTAGGGTGTTGAAATGGCTGACATTTTGCATCGCATTATAGCCTATAGAAAATAGGTCATGACACGTGAAAGCTAGGCCATTTTGGGTAGTTTTGCCCATTATGGTGAGCGGTTACTCTGCAACCCTACAAACTATTCCCACTCAATTTTCAAGCAAAAACATACAAAACAAAGCAAAACACACTACTAAATATATGTATAAGCAAACAAAAGCGACGAGCGGTCCGTTGATGAAGTTGTTGCTGGTGCATGACGACTGTCCGTGACATTCTCCCCCACTTAAACTATTGATGCCTCCGTCGATACTTGCTGGTAGGCTTTGATGATTGCTTCTTTATGTCACAGGGCATCTTCAGGCTCCCAACTAAATTTTGTTCAGGGAAGTTTTTGTCATTTCACCAAGTTCTTAATCTACACTACTCCGTTTGGTAACTTCGTTTTATGATATGCTAAAATGACTTCAATTCGCTTTTCGTAAGAGACTCTAATAGGGAGTAGCCGAGTTGAAACATGCTAGAAAGTATATTACGGATTTGAATGATAGGCTTTCAAGTTGCTCGCATGGAAGATATTGTGAGTTTTGAGTCACGTTGATAGTTGCAACTTGTAGGAGACATTGTCTACCTTGCTAATAATTGGGAAGGGCCTTTCATACTTGCGCACTAGTCCCTTGTACATTTTTATGCCTAAAGAACTGGAGTGATGCTGGTTGGAGCTTCACCAACACCAAGTCGTCAACTTTGATCTCTTGTGGTTGCCTTCTCATGTCTTCCCACTTTATCTTTTTGGTCGCCTTCTTTAAGTATGCTAGGGCAATACCTACGTTTCGATGTCATTCTTTTGTAAAGTGATATGTTGACGGGCTACTTTCGGTATAATTGATCGCCAAGGTGTGATAAGTTGATGGTTGTTGTCTAATAATGATCTCGAAGGGGCTCTTGCTAGATGCAAAGCTTCACTATAAATTGTAGGAGATATGGGCTATGTCCAACAAGTTCATCCAATCTCGTTTATTGGCAGTCACATGGTGCTGAAGATATTGCTCAAGAAGCAAATTTATTTTGTTAGTTTGGCCATTCGTCTTGGGGTGGACACTTGTGAAGAAGTATAACTTGGATCTCAGCAATTTGAACAACTTGGTCTAGAATTGCACAAGAATCATGTGTCTCGGTCGCTGATGATATTGTACAGAACTCTTAAATACTTCATCACATTCTTCATCATTAGCTTAGTTGCCTCCTCCGCAGAGTAATGTACATGTGTAGTAATGAATGTCGTATACTTTGAGAACCAATTAACCACCACGAGTATCGATCCAAGTCCCCTACTGCTGGCAAGCTTGATATGAGGTTCAAGGAAATGCTCTCTCATGGCCTTTTCAGTATGAGCAATGACTTCAAAAGTCCCATCGGCTTCCATTGCTTTATCTTATCTTATTGGCAAGTAAGGCACGTCCGAACATATTCCTATATATCAGTCCGCATCTTTGGCCAATAGAAGGCTTTCTCCACGAGAGCCAAAGTTCGATGAATAGTTGGATGTCCTACCTAAGGGGAATCGTGATACTCTCTCAAGAGTTTACGACTCAAATTATCCGCT